TATGGTATTCAGCTTTGTTCGGGTATTTTCCCACGTCATTATAGTTGTGCTTTTAAAGTTGTAGTAATGTTTTGGCAGAATCTCATCACGGCTGTGAAAGTCTGACTCACAGACGAACACAATACAGAAGCCTGATGATTGCAGATGAGATTCTGCCGAAACATTGCTACAACTTTAAAAGCACAACTATAATGACGTGGGAAAATACCCGAACAAAGCTGAATACCATACATGTAAGTACCCGTGAAAACTTAAGAATATATATATATATATATATATATATATATTTACATATATATATATGTTTACATATATATATTAGGGGCGTGCATAAGCGCACCAACGTGCCTACCGTCCCTGTCCTATTGCTTCTTTTATTTTTTTATTTTTCTTATATGTATCCATGTATTTGTAACTATGTTTTTACTTATACCTATTATCTTATAAGCAATTGACATAAATAAATAAATAAATAAATAAAGTTGTTCTCTATTATGTTGGCATCTGAATCTCTGCAAGGAAATCAGCCTAATGCAGAGGTAATTTGCATTTTACTCTTACCCACAACACTTCTGGCATTGGAGCATTTGATAATATTGTTTTTTGTCTCTCCCTCTAGAAATGATTATGTATCAATGTGGTTTCTGGGAATAATTTTTAAGAAACTGGAGAATGCAGAGAGTGTAAGCGTTGACTTAACCTATGATATCCAGTCATTCACAGATACAGGTAAACCTTTCTCCCCTTAAAAGTCCTGTTCTAAGTAGACCAATATTACTTTAGATGGATACCTCACTTTAGTATATATTAGTGCCTCTGACATCTTGGCAACCAAGTGAAATATCATCTATAATGAAGTGGTTTATAAAAATGAGAAAAGGAATATTTACATATTAAATTTCTATACCGCCAATCACACCTATGGGCAGCTTACAACAATACACCAATATGGCCATGCAGAAGATTTGAAAATGAATTTGTGCTGAAGGAAATTTCTTCTTTAAATAATTTCCCCACCCCCAAAGATTTACTATTTTTTAAATACCTTTAAAGTCTATTGGACTGGCACAATCCTGATTTCCTAATTGCAAAAGAATACAAGTCCAATTAGGACCTGTCCTTCTCCAGAGGAAGAAAAATAGGCTCACTTCTCAAAATGTATGAAGTTTTTATTTAGAGATGAAAAGTGTCTTGTGAAATGTAATCAGTCAGCCTAGAAAGTGCTGCAAAAGCTATTTTTGAAAGCTGAACATTGCTGTAAGCAACTTTGGTTTGTATTTATTGGAAAGAAAGAAGAAGCCAAAACTCATGATTGTATTATATGTTTTCCAGAGTGGAGCCCTCTGCCCAGTAATGTGTTGGAGTTTTCTCATAGCAGTTTTCCAAATGCTGATCATTACATTTTCTGGAATTTTGTGAGCTACTTGAGAGCAAAGATGAGTCTCCAACCTGACACACTGATCAACTGTTCAGTGACTAGCAATGTGGTAGTAGCTATGGAGTCATCAGAGTCAGTTATTAAACACCTATCAGCATTCCACTGCCTCTGACTCTACACAGGAAATTTATTTCTGGATATAAAAATATAGTCCTTGACTTATCTTCACAATTGAGCCTGGAATTTTGATCATAAGTCATTGCAGTCATAAATTGAATCACTATATGACCAGACTAGATTTTACAGTTGTTTTAATGATGGTCGTTGAGTCAGTCACATGGTTGTAAGTCCAAATCTAGCTTATCTAATGGATGCTTTTTTTGCCATTTTTTACCCGAAAATAACAAAAAACCATTACAAAGCATGACATGTGACCATGGGATGCTGCAATTGGTTATAAATGCAAGTGGGTTGCCAAGTGCCCAAAATGCAATTCTGTGACTGCAGGAGTTGCATAATGATCACAACTTTGAGGATGAGTTGTAAATAATTTTTCGAATCCATTGTAACTTTGAATGGTTGTTAAGCAACAAGTCGTAAGCCAAGGACTATCTTCAAGATTTACTAGATGTATTGGCACGTATCTGCTAAAGTAGAAATGTATCTTGTAAACTAGGTGATAAAATATATTGGGTAGAAAGTTATACACGTATATACTATTCTAACTGTATAAACTAGATTTCTGTAGGGAGAGAGATCAAGCCCTCCCCCTTTTATCAATTTTTTTTTCTTGGATAATCTGGTTTTAAGTTATGTAAGTCCTTTGTTAGAAAATATGTAATAATTGTACATTAATGGAGACAATAAACCAGCTGGCCATTGTTGTGTTATAAAATCTAGTTTCTAATACACTAGCTCCCATATAATGATACTTATATAGACCAAGTTAACATGTCCAGTATTTCGTTGCATGATCAAACTAATAAACTAAAGAAGACTGATGCTTAATTCTCTTGGGGGAAAAACTTATCTGGGCTTTTTCTTCAGAAGGGATAGTGCTGATTAAGAATCAGATTCCAGAAGAAAAATAGATTCTGTGCTTGTATCCCTAGGTTCCCCTTATTTTACTCTGCTTGTAAAATTAAATCTACTGGTAAGACTATTAGACAACCTAAGAATCGGGATCTGAAGTATCAGGACTCATAATGCATATGTACTGCAAAAATAAACTGGATTAGATAATTTTCTTTATTTCTGTTCACTGATCATATGGAAGAACTCTATCGCTTTATTTCATTACCTAAAGGTAGAATGATAATATCGTAATACCCAATCTGATATATGCTTTATGGATTGGGAAGCTTGTTCCAGCAGCAGCAGGACAGCAAGTTAAAGGCTGATCAAAGTTGCTTGAGTTGTTGGATAACTTCTTGACTTTGTCATCTTTGATCTTAGTTTACAGACAGGCAAACAATATCAACATGTTGAAAGAAGGCATGAAGATTGAAGCTACTCATGTGAGGAAGAAACAACTCCATTTTTATTTGCCAGCAGACTTTTTGCAGAAGAGGAAAAAGGTTGGTCCAAATTTTGTTTTTTCTGACAATACTTCATTTACAGATCTGGGTATTTAAACTGAAATTATCTCAACAGAGCGTGCCTGATCTTGGTGGACATGCTTGTGGGGTCATGTTGAAAAAGACAATGGAAAATGATAGTGGTTTGGACACTTACAGCAGTGCAGAAGTTACTACACAGTGCAATACTGTTCCCTCATTCAACAACGTGGTGGAATATTGCAGTAAATCTTTTTCAAAAGGGTTAGAAAGGTAGGTGTTGTGTGGCTGTGTCAAGTGTCTATCATATGGGTATAGCATCAATATTACTTCTAGGATGTGACCAATAAATAATTTGTATGGGTATTTGTATGTGTTCTGACCCATATCCCCAAACACAACAAACCCTCTGACGTGAACTCAAGAGATTCCTTTTTTAGGAATGCTGGCAGCCCCGGTGAAAAGTTTCTCTTGCAGGCTAACAAGTCCATCCGGCCAGAAGATGAATAGTTGTCTGCCACACCCATTCATCTCCACCTTTTATCTCCCAGAGCTAGGATGGAGCCTCGCTAGCAGTGGTGGCTCTTCCTTCCCCAGGATTGGCCCACAGTTTTCCACTGCTCTCCTCTTCTCTGCCTTCTTCACAGCTGTGTGTCAGGCACTGGACCCAGCTGTTCCTCCTCTTCTTCATCAACCACCTCCAGATCTGAGGGTTATTGACTCTCCATCTGAGGGCTGATGGATGACCCAGAGTCTGCCTCTATCCGTCTCTCTCTGCCAGCTCCATTCCCTCTTCCCCCTTGGAGCTCCCAGGTTGCCCTGATGCTGACCCTGACTCCCACGCAGCCGGTTCCTGCTCTGATTTGGCTGTTGGAGGGGCCAGCGGCTGACAGGCCACAACAGTATGATTTTTTTAGGCCTCGGAAGGCCAGAATGATGTGTGTGAGAGAGAGAAAGAGAGAGACAGGGAGGGAGGGAGGGATTTTATTTATATTTATATATATAAATATATACACTATACAGAAGCCTGATGATGGCAGATGAGATTCTGCCAAAACGTTGCTACAACTTTAAAAGCACAACTAGAATGACGTGGGAAAATACCCAAACAAAGCTGAATACCATACATACATACATACATACATACATATACATATACATATACATATACATATACATATACATATACATATACATACATATATATATATATATACACACACACACACACACACACACCACCACCACCAAAGTAGGAGAAAACAACGTTCAGCCTGTGCTTTGAGGGGTTTAGTAGGACTTAAGAGGCAAAAGGGCTGCACTCATAGAGATTTAAAGCACCTGTAATTTTGCAAAAATAGGGTAGGCAGGAAAGCTGCTCTGTAAAATAATGGTCCTACAAAGTGTGATTGTCCATTACTGAGCCAGCTTCTGTTGTATTGGTAGCAAAGGATAACAGGCTTCCCAGAGGCTTGCTAAAGAGTAAAACCTGGTCCCCTCGTCCATTGTCTTCAATAAAGCCGCACCACATTTCCCAAACTTTTTCTTATGATTACGTCTTGCATCTTTTAAGTCAAATTTCTGTCAGACATTTGGGCAATCCATTTATAAAAAATTATCCCAGGTAGTTCTTATGTTTGCTTTTGCTACTTTTACTTTTGAAGAGAGTACAATTTCTCATAAAGATCTCTGAAATGCTTCTAACAATATTCCCTCATTTTGTTCCATAAAATACATTCTATCAGGTTCCCGGTGATTGTCCTAGATGGATTTTGATCACATGTGTAACATAATACTTTTCTCTTTTCCAAGCTGTTTCCAAATTTTCTTTTTTTAAATCATACATAATTTCCCTAATTAATTCCCTCAGTTTTTCATCATAAATAATCAGGTTTCCTCATTCACTCTTCTTCTGTGTATGCTTATGAATAGACTTGTTCTTAAACCATGTATCGCAAATAGACTTTTTCTAAATGAATTGCCATGGCAAATAGGCAGCAATACAAATCTAATAAATAAACAAACAAGCAAATAAATAAATACAATTGTCATTCTCCTCAATTCTCATCTATTCATTAAGTCATTCGATCCATTTTCCCATGTTATTATGGAAGGCTTTTATCATAATGTCTCCTCATCTCCATGAAATGTTTCTTAACCAGTGCTGCTTTTCACAGGTCTGATGTCCTTCAAAAACCTACAATATCTGAAAGGCAAGAGAAGCCATGGGCCATCACTCAGTCAGCAATGTCTGTACCAGGTACTAGCTCTTGAATATACTAACTTCAAAATTAATTAGTATTCTTTTTAGGGCCATTAAATAAAACTTAACGTTACTCCAATTTGCAGGCTTGAATCTTACAACTTCAGCAGACGCAACTCTGCCTTTAAGTTCCAGTAGTGTCTCCATGGCCATAGAGCAAAATAAAATTCCTCCAACTATCATCCTTGCTTCTACTCATTCCCAGGGACACCTAGATGGCATAAGTTCTATTAAAAATAACTCTGCACATAAGAGAGTTCACTCACCAGTCTCTGAAGATTGTTTTAAGCGGCTGAAACATGTAGACAAGGTAAGTGTCTCTCTGCACAAATGCCATAATCATGCAGTACGAGTGTTTAAATTAATTGTCAAAGAGGACACAGTTGCATGACTGATAACAAAACTCTGCTGAGCACTACAGCTTCAAACTAAGTGAAAGTTACTTTTGGAATAACTATAAATAGAGATTGTGATCTCTTGGAGAAAAACACCCAGATTGACTTAGACTTGAATAAGGGTGAAGATCTTAGTAGTAATAACTCTGTAATGGGCATAAGTAATGTTCCTTCCCTTTCCCCCCCATTCACCTTCTATGGGGTTTACAGCTAATTTAACGGTATAATTTATATCAAACAAATTGAGTTTTTTTTTTCCTGGCAATACATTCAGGAGACATTCCTGCCTTTTGAATTATTATTTTAGTTTAGATATTGGGGAATGAAGTGAAGTAGGGAATGAATCAGAGGTGGTATTCAGTAGGTTCTGACCAGTTCTGGAGAACCGGTAGCAGAAATTTTGAGTAGTTCGGAAAATCAGCAAATACCACCTCTGACTGGAGATTTTACAGTTTCCTTCCCCTGCCACGCCCACCAAGCCACGTCTACCGAACCGGTAGTAAAAAAATTTGAATCCCACCACTGGAATGAATGAAAAGCCAGAATGATGTGTTGCATGATAAAATGATTGTTCGTAATTTGATGAGTCTTCAAAGTGTGAAATGAAGGGCTAAACCTGGCTTTACATAGCTTTCAATAATTTGGTGTATTTTATCCAAATTCAGCTCTGTTATAATATCAAACTAGATGTTATTGTCAAGACTCAGAGATGGGAAGGAAGGGAAACACTACATTACTTTGTACAAGTTTCATATGTCAGAGTAAGTGGTGAGATAAATTGAACACTGCAGTTCATTACATCATTTGTGCAGACATGATGTTGTGATGTCAGTATAGCTTGTATTTGCTGCCTGTGGCCCAGTGGTACTTGCATTTTGACACGCAACTTATGTTTTTTCTTTTTTTTAGCAAAGCCTTAAAGACACCCTGGCTCTTCCAACCTTTGATACACAGAGATCACAGGTATTAAGTGAACATTTGTATTTGAAACAAAATGGAGATAATAACTGATGTCTGCAGATTTTTAATATTTATGAGGCTTTCGTTTTATTTTTGTGTTCTGTAATATGCTTTCACGCTTTGTAATTTGCTCTCCCTGAAATGACACTAAATATAACAGAACTGTACAGTAACTTAGATTTGAGTGAGAAGAGATGTTTCAGGGTACATAGCACCTGTCTCTGAGTTACTAAAACATAATCCTGATCTCAGGATTATGAGGCTGCAGCAGGAAGCTCACAGTTCTTGTACTATCTGAAGTATCTCTTTTATCAAATCTGTAGTATTCCCTACACTTAATATATAATTTGTACACTAATTTTTAGGGGTTGCCACTCATCTGCAAAGACTCCCAGATTGGCTTATATGGTAAAAGCTTTAACTCAACCATCTCCTTTCAGTAGCAGTAAAAAAAGCTGAGCAGCTGGAGATGACACATCTCTTAGCAGTACGATTGATGCCAGATGTTGCTTTGATCTAGGCTTGTACTCATATCTCTGGAATCTTGCTTCCTTCATCTGATTTTAGTTTTCATTTGCAGCGGCTTTCTAGTAAAGAATTGCCAGATTCATCTTCTCCAATTCCAGCAAGTGGTATGGTTCGTGTTGTCAAAAACTCCATCAGACTGACTCTTAATCGATAGCAGTGCTTTACCAGGTAATAGTAAAGACATTGCATTTTAATGACTATTGCTTACTTTTTTGTTTCAATTGTTGCTCTTATGTTCATGCTTCACTTTTGAACTTTGACATGCCTGCAACCACTTATAAACTTGTTTTTAAACTCACAGAAAAGGTGCCCTGATCCACTCCAGTTTTCTGTCAGAATTATCTAGAACTAGAATTAGTTCCCCTTTTTCTTTTGTAGGGATCATTTGATTTTTCCAACTCGTCTACAAAGATTGAGGGGGATGAGTGAGAATGAAGACTTCCATTGTGTATGCAAAATTCCAGCTACATTGTGCTGTACAGAGTGGAATCCTGATTATATTTAATTGAAATGTGTATAGATACCATTCACCAGGTTGAAATTTTTATAGATACCATATTGAAGTATGGGACATAATTTCTCACTTAATATTCATCAAATGTGTAGAGACAGTAAGTCCCAAAATTTTTAACCAGTGTCCCTGTATCTGGAAGACACTAGATTATGCAATGAGATTATAGCAACAATCAACAAATGTATACTGGTCCTTTTTATGCATAAATTTAAAAATATGCAAACCTTATAATTTAAAAGAAAACAATATAAATATGTTTCAGTTTAAAATGCATAATTTTGAAATATTGACTCAAAAGAAAAAAAAATATTCATCAACAGCACCATATGATATTCTTCCATTTAAAGGCATCCTAAAGTTACTGTATCCATACTACTGTAATAGAAAGCAACTCTCAACAAATGAAGACAGACTGCATCTAAAGGGTACAACCTATGATTTACGTATCGATCCATGTCAGCTCCGCTTTGGATCTCTCATTACAGAGCTGGGAACTTCCTGAATAACTACTCCAAGCTGGCATCAAGGCAGTGCTAAGTGGACCAATATTGGCATTATACATATCATCTATCCTTGTTTAAAATGGCTTATTCTTCTATAGATTTCTCTCTGCAGGTGTTACACTGTCATAATTGTTGTAAAAATTTCAAAGTACTATTCCTCCAAAATGTGTGGTATGTGGGTATTCCTATAGTGTAAAGTTTATTCCCTTGGACCTTTATTTTCATTGTGCAAATGCATAGCTTTATTTTGTCTTGTATTGTTCTTTCAGCAGAAATGTCTTTATTATGAAAAACCAAAAAAAATATTTTTTCTTGCCTTTATTTTTTCCTAAAGGCGTTGGCATGCAGAGTACTTTGCCCTGATGTATTCCTATTGTTATCAGTGTCATTTCAGTACAGGGGTGCAAGGTAGTCTGAAGCTCTCTCTTAAATATATTCTTAACACTGTTGTTTTAACCCAAAAATCCACATCTAGTCTCGGTGGTATGTAACGCTGGCTAGTGATCTGCGTAGCAGGTCCCCATAGGGGTTCTTGTAAAGTGGAATAATGCACAGGAGTATATGTGTATGTGTTGGAGGTACTTCTCCTTTAAAAAACAAACCATTAGGGATATATGTAGATGTCCCCAAAAAAGCTGCTTCCCCTGGAGACTCACAAAAGGAAAAGGAGAGCACATTTTCAGTCATTGTTCAGATGCATTAAAGCCCTATAATAGTCAGATATAAATTTAACTTCGATGCTTCTCTCTACACATCCAGCACTCCAATTTTAAACCAATGGGAATGAAATAGTCTTCAGTGTTTAGCTGGATTGCATGTTAATCTATAAATAAAAATGTAAACAGACTAATCTCTTCAACAATACTGGAATGCAAGCAAAGTGGTTAGTATATTACTTGAATTTCAGAATTGTTAGAGGGCCGTGTAAAACCATAATTTGCAATCAATCCTTTTTTTTCTTACATGTTGAAAGTTCTGAAAATTATTTTCCCTATTTTGGCCTGCCTTGTGAATGAGCACTCTTTAATCTTCTGTGAATTGGGATTTGGGAATGCTGGAGAAGAATCATGAGTTTTACTCAAGTTTGACTTCTTTAGTTTTCTGAACAACTTCACTAGAATCGGTGTCTCCCACTAGAAGATCACTTGACTCTTCCAGACCCATGTTTTCTTCAGAGCCCATGGCCTGATATGCCAGGAGTAAATACTGTTTTCAAATCTTAAATTTTGTAATATCTGCTTTTGTAAAAAATTGTAATCGAAACAAAAATGTGTATGCAGAGTATTTTTGTATGTACTGTAAAAAAAAATTTTTTTCAAAGAAATGTAAATCCTAGTCTCATCTGCTTCATTTATAGAATACTTAGGAAACTCTTTGCTTCTAGTTACAAAATAATAGAGATAATATTTAATAGAAATAATAGAGATAACATTTTATTCTGATAAAATGTGCATTGGTTATTTCCTGAGGAGATGTCTATGGAGATTCGCAGTCATCCAGGTCACGATCGTCCCAAAGGTGCTTTTTTTCATGAGGCAACTTGACTTTCCAGTTTTTCTTTTTTCTTTCATGAGGCAACTTGACTTTCCAGTTTTTCATCCAAGAAGCTTCTTCAGCTCTGACTGGATGGTGGGGAATGGAAGGATTTATATTCCTTGCAGACAGCTGGTTATTTGCATTCTTTTAGAAAGTTGTTGAGGCCACTTGGAGGTTTATTTCTTTCCTCAGAGTTACCTGAATAGTACAAATGGGTGTGGAGCTTCTTGGAACTGCTGAAAGGACTGTGTGGTAGACTTCCCTGAGGAGATGCAAATGGAATTTTAGAAGGATTTTAAACTTGTAGATTGCAACTTGTTTTGGACCAAATTCAACATTAATTCTCCTAAATGACCATTGCAAACAAGCTGATATAAATCTGTGAAAAATGGTATGCTGTAGTCTATTTAAAATTCAGGCCAGAGGTAGTGACAGTAGAACATAATTCTACTGACAGTAGAACATAATTCCAACAAGATTCATGATTGTTGTTATGAGCAGCTACAATTCCAATTAATTTATATGGTATGATTAGATTGTTTGCCTGGAAATTATTTTTTTGACTTAGGAAGTCATGACAGTTTCAGTTTCAAATGGGGCTAAGTCACCTTGCACAAATAATAGACTGCTCAAATCTGGCTAGAAATTACATCATTCTGGAAGATTTAATGAATCGTTTTGATAATAACTATAATAAGAATACAGCTGGAAGAACATCTTTGTTAGCAATATCTATGATCCAGCACATTAGCTCCACTCCAACAGATTTCACAAATTAGAAAGGACATGGGTTCATAATACATCTACTAGACACTATTCCAGCAATGATGTTACATACATCCTCAGTTTGCATAAATTGAAAAATATCTGTAAGAACATCTTGTAAACATCTGTTACCAGCCAGAATTAATCTGCCTGAAAATATCTAATATTTCATTAGTAAACCTAAGTGCTTAGAGATTATAGAAAGATGTTGCCCCGGGGTGGGATTCTACCAGTTCAGACTGGTTCGGGCAAACCAGATGTTAAAATTACATCCGGTATTTCAACCAACAGATTGGCCACTCCCACCCCACGCTGCCCCTCCCAGGAGTTTCCATGCGATGCAGGTAAGTTCAGGGTCCATGCAGAGGCTCTGGGAGGGGGCAAAACAGGCCTTCCAGTAGTCCCAGAGGCCCGGGGGAGGCCTCCGGACTCTTGGGAGGGCAAAAACTGCCTTCGCTGGACTCTGAAGGCCCGCCGGAAACAGGAAGTTCCGGTAGGCCATGGCCACACCCACCCAGCAACCAGGCAGCGAACTGGTTGCTGGGATTTTTGAATCCCACCCCTGTATTGACCTCTAATTCAAATTTTCCCAATCAGGTGCCCTCTGGATATGGTGGGCTAAAAGATCCATAATGGCTTGGTACAAGGTTGGAAAAAGTTGTTTAATTCTACATAAGGTCTAAAAGCATTTCCCAATTTTACAAAGCTTCATTTGCTGATTTTGGTTAAGAAACAATTTAAATGAAAAGTGAAGCTCCTGCTATTGTGAGCTGGGCTTGATACTCTTCTCTGCCTTTATATATGTCTTTCTGAGTAGAATAGTACTTCATTCTTCTCCCTGTAATTCTCAATCATCCAGGTCATGGTTGTCCCAAAGGTGCTTTTTCCAAAAGGTAAATGGACTTTCTTGGGGGTTTTATTTTTTCCTTTGAAAATGTTTCACTTCTTCATCCAAAAAACTTGGATGAGAAGCAAAATGTTTTCTAAGAAAAACCAAGAAATTCCAGTTGCCTTTTGGAAAAAGCACCTTTGGGTCTTCTGTATAATACCATTCCTATCACTCTTATTTCACAGGAATGCAAGTTTCTTTTGGCTCTGGCTACATTGGATTTTCTGTGATTTGGAAATACTCCAGAAATGAGTAAAAACAAGATCTGGTTTGGAAGGTGGTTTCAAGAATTTTAACTGATTAAACTGGTGCCTTAAAGCATCAACATTTTCTCTTCTAAATTTGTCAAAAAAAAATGAGTCCCATCAGGATTGAACTCCAAGCTGTGGACAGAGTTTGCCCGTAAAGCTGCATTCTAACCACTGGGTCACCAGGACTCCTTTCTGGCAGATAGCTGGGATTCGCTGGTAAATTTGGCTGTCCAGTTTTTATTTTAGGCACAACATATTTTGTTGATAGCAATTAAAATGTAAGTTCAATACAGTGGAGTGCAGTAAAAAAAAGTTTATTATACAGACCTAGATCTTTTTTCCCCAATTCAATCATGTCCTATTGTGAAAGACTGCCTGGAAAAGTTCCTGCAGTTTTTTTGGCAAGTTTTTTCAAAAGTATTTGCTATTGCTTCCTTCCTAAAGATGAGAGAAAATGGTTGGCCCAAAGTCATCCAACTGGCTTTGTGCCTAAGGTGAGATTAGAACTCATGGTCTCTAATCTGCTGACTTAACCACTGCACTAAACCAGCTCTTTTCAAAAATTTAAAAAAAAACAAATAGACCTAATGAGTGTAATAGCAATAACACTTAGACTTATATACCGCTGCACAGTGCTTTATAGCCCTCTCTAAGCAGTTTACAGAGCCAGCATATTGCCCCCAACAATCTGGGCCCTCATTTTACTTACCTTGGAATGATGGAAGACTGAGTCAACCTTGAGCCTGTCAGAATTCAACTGTTGGCAGTCAGCAGAATTAGCCTACAATACTGTTCACTTTAGCAGCCAAAATAAAAA